ATATCATATTATCATTTTCATATTATAGCCACTAATACATGAGTTATATGCTTTTTTTGTGACGATCGCCCATCCTTAGTGTTGAGTTATTGCTTGTTCAGGTTGTACAGTACAAGGTCAAAATGAAAAAATGCACTGGACTTTTGTTGTCCCAACAGTAGTCATGTCAACCAGCAATGTGTTTTTAGTGTCATTAATGTAATCCAAATCCCGTCTGGTATGAGGTAGGGAGGATGTGTGTTGTAAGTATGAGGGTGTATGTGAGTGAAGATCTTGTGGCCCTGCAACATTGATCGCCACTCTCTCAGGCCCAGCAGAATCGGACAGCAGCAGGCATCTCTGAATCTGTAATCAGAGCCAATCAATGATGTTCCTGTCCACCAGCATGCTCATTCATCCTGGGTCACACACATGTGGCCAACATGCTCACACACCCTTACACAAACCAACAAACTAGCACGTTAACGTTCATGCTCTATGCTCATTCAAGTCTAACACCATATAACACAATGATGTCAGGTATTCAGATCGCAAATGCAGGTGAAAATAATCCTGAATGAATATGAAATAAATAAAAAAAAAACAAAGAAAAAAAGAAACAGAGTCCAACTAATACAATAGTCATACAGGGGAATGTGTGAATTCAGCTCCAGCCTGATAAAGACAGAGAGAGGGAGAGAGAGTTGGAAAGGTAGAATGGCACCCAAGGGAGCCATGGAACATTCACACCATAGCTCATCCATCTCTGGGACATGGGGAAGGAGGCTGCCTGTAGCATGCCAAACAGAGCAAGCCTGACAGAGAATTCAACATGAGATGCCGGCCAGCCTTGAACATGTGTGACAGACATTCATGCATGCACACACACACGCTTCTTAAACTCCTCAATCACGCCTCACACCACACACACATCAGTGCAGACCCCACTGGTCTAATTGGAATGGGAGCTCATGCTAGTGGGGCCACATTTCTCTCCGGCTCGCCATTGTCATGTGGCGACATAGTTAATCTGTTTTCCAAACAGCCAGACTTTCATGGTGACTAATGTTCAGGCCCCTCTGCATCGCCTTATTAAGACATAATACATTCTAATGACAACTCGCCCCTCACCAAGCACTTCTGTTTCTTTGTGGGCTTGTGAATGACTGTACATGTGTTGTGTTTATGTTTTGTACTATGATTCACATCACAAAAGTTTGCAACTGTAGAAATTGTAGTAATTTAGTTCTCTTCTTTGTGACATGAAACATAAATATGCACAGAGTACAGCAGGCAACTACGCTTTATTATTATTGGTACAGCTGACGTAGCTTTTCTGACTATTTGAGGTGAGGAGATGTTAAGACATCCTGTAAACTGGGCTTACTTGAATGCATTGTGTGTGCTAATGTGGTACCCCTAAAAGTTGAAAAGATTAGAGCATATATAACATTTGTTTCTCTATTGTAAATGATTTCTGTCCTCTCTCTCATCTGCTTGAGACATGGTTAGGGATATCTGTGGGCAGAGCACTACCTGACTTGGCAGTGAAGTACAGAAAACATCTTCACCTTCAGGTGTCCTCAGCGAGTAGTTAGGGGCGCAACACAGATGTCCAGTGTTGTGACGCGAGGTGTGGTGGTTCATGTCCGCCTCTATTCTTCCCTCATAACAGGCAGAATAAATTGGGATTCTCGTGGGATCTGAGATTATTGCACAGATGAATGCCTGTTCTGCATCACTGCTTTCGTCTTCAGGTCTGTTCGTACACATCCAGAAGTACTTGCCAGAGGGAGCTGTCTGCAAAGCGACTTGTACGACTTGTGCAATCTTGCACAATCTGAAACTTTCACAATTGTTGGTATGCATGAATGTTTTGTACACACATGTTGGGTTTTATATATCTTAATTCAGCAGCAAACCTTTGTGCATTGCCACATAACAGTTTTTTTTCCCACAGTCAGACAGAAAATGACAACAACCTCACTGTAGCTGCCAGGAAGATAACACCTCCTAATACTGTTTACCTGGCCTCTGCCAGCAGCACAGTGCATGATGGGAAACAAACCTGACAAGTGAGGCCAATCAGTGAGAAGGAGGAATCAAGCAAAAGTTCCCGTGTTCCTGGTGCAGATTTGATCTCTGTCAGGGTTGCTGAGACTCTTCTTGATGGTCTGTCATGTCGAAAATTTGTTTAATTGGACTCAATTAGTCAGCTCAAGAGCTCATTGAGCATAATACTAAGTGGCCAGCAGAGCAGGGTGACAGAAGGAGAATTGGCAGTGACAGCTTGTGTTAGCCTGTTGTGAGGGCAGAGGCAGCTCTGAACAGAGGGGAATGGATACAGTTGACGGCTGAAACTCAAGGAGAGCTGTGGCTAACAGGAGCCGCAGGTCCTCCTTCGTTTCCCCTCTACCTCACCCAATTGTCCATCTTTGAAAATCTATTTCCAGTGCCTCCCTCCTTCCTTTGCTCCCTCCTCCTGGTTCTAGCTTGTCACTCTGATCCCCCTGGCTCAAAAGGTAAGACAATCTGGTTGGGGGGGAGAGCGAAGGGGCTCCACTGCTCTCATTCTGCTACCACACAATCAGGTTGACTTGAGGGAACATCTGTTAGAAGATGCAGTTATGCATCTTAAGGGTCTGTTCACACTGTGTGATGCAACTGTTCATCTCTGAATGCGTGAGTTATTGTAAGATCTACTCTTTAACTAAGGCAAGAGACAGATTTCAGTGTGTGTGTGTGTGTGTGTGTGTGTGAGAACATTTAGGTGTGGACTTGGCCAAGCCAGTGGGACAGAAGCGCTGATGTGTGCTACCGTTTAAAATAGCCCAGACAGACAGCTGAGCAGCTGTGACCTCAGGTCCCCCGAACTCTCAGTTACACTCACTGACCACACTGCTCTTTGCAATGTGTGTGTGTCTGTACCTACAGTATAATACACTGAATTGTCTATACCAATTTCGGAGACATTAAACTGTCTTTATGAAGCCAACTTCAGTAAGAAAACTCGGCTGAAAGTAATTGTCGGACTAACTCTCTTTCAGTGCCTGAGTTTGCTCCCATTATTGTCCATATTTTAAAGTCATCCATGGCTTTCTGCGTCAGTCAGCGGAGGTTATTAAAGGACAACAGACAGCTTTGGTTTTGTCAAGCAGGGACAATGCAGCCCAATTACAGCTCAGGCAAAGAGGAGGCACGATATCCTTGGACTAGGCACTCGCTCTGCTCTCGTCTGCAGCTAGCCAGACACTCAGTTTCACAGCAACAAGCATGAAATAGACTCCAAGGATCAAGTACAGTCTGGGTGCAATTGGAAGTGCAAAACTGTGGGACAGGGTGCGTGAATGAGATCATCAGTGTGTCTTTTTGACAAGTTTTGTGTTCATAAAAGGGTACATTTGTGTGTGTGTGAGAGAGAGAGAGACAAAGACAGTGAGAAAGAGCTCATGGGCATTGTGTGCTTTAGCCAGGAAAGTGCTATTAGGGTATGTGCTCCCAGGCTGATGGCTAAAACAGTGAGAGGTGTGGTGAGACTTGGAGGGCCACTGTTGCCTGATACATTGCCATCAAATGCTTTTATAATTACTGTGGAGGAAAAAAGATATTAAACATTCCTTTTAAAAGGTTTTCTTCAGTCCTATTGTATGTTTTTGTGACTTATTGGGCTTTATCTAAAATAATGCATAAAACACACCTATGGCAGCTAAGCTAGACAAACAAAGTGATGCAGTGACTAATTCAGGGCAATTTTAGCCCATGAACACGCAAAGTTTCCCCTACAGGAGCAGCCAAAGGGGTCAGCCACACATCAGCTGAGCGAGCAAACTGTCACTGTCGACGCCGCTGTCATCACAACTGACTGTCTGCCGCGGTCTTTTCCAGCACCAAACCTATTCATGTCCTCTGTACTCTCACACTCCCTCTGCCTCTATTCCTGGTGCAAACACACAGACAGATATGTTTAACAAGAGGCTTCCTGGATGCAAATAGAGAAGGTCAGACTGAGATGGCTTGCCCTGCCTACGCCCTCATAACTCAGTGCTGCTCTACTGCTGACCAGCGACAAGTATGGTCAATGAAAGTGATGGTGTGTGATGATGGGAAATAAGCTTACATGCTTTCTGATGAGAAGAACTATATGACTCTTATGTCTGTGCGTTAAGTATGAAGCAGTTAACTTAGCATACAGAGTGAAAGCAGGTGGAAACAGCTAGCCTGGCTCACTCCAAGGCTCACAAACACATCTACAAGCACCTCCAAAACTCACAAATGAACACAACTTGTTTGTTTAATCCGTACACAAATCAAAATTTTACAATGACAGGTTGTGCTTCTACAGGGAGTTGCATGCTGTAACTATTTCTTGGCTGGACGCAGTGACGTCCAGGAGTCTTGGATATCAAATGAGATATAATGTGTTAAGCTTTAGAGGTGTCGGTAGGCGAACTTTGGTGCAAGCCAGGCTCAGTGTTTCCTCATGTTTGCAGTCTTTATGCTAATCTAAGCTAACAGCCTCATGGCTCTAGATCCAAATTTAACATACAAATGTGACAGAAGGTTCAAAATGTATAGCTTGATGTGCAAAATGTGGCCACCTCACTGTTTAATATTCCTTTTTGAGGCCAGGGGCAATGTATGTGGTATCAGCATCAGCAATATTTTAAGAGCCTACTCACCCACACAGGTGTTTTCACCTATTACGGCTCATTAAACTTCCCACCAGATTGAGGTTGGGTGGAGCTATGCTGGGAATTACATAATTAAAAAAGATGACTAAACTTACCGTACCATTAGAAAAAAAAAAAAAGATATAAGTTGACCAGACCTAACAAGAGAATGAACAAAATGTCAACTAAGCAAGTCCACACAGTCCTAAGAAGAGGATTAATCAGAAATAACAACACCTGTGTGGGTGTGCGATGGGTGTGTAGGTCCTTTAATAAACACCTTTTCCAAGCAAATCTCTGTTGTCTGTCAGTGTCTGTTGTGACTGATATTCTTCAAGGAGAGGCTACAGAGACGAGCAAAAAAGCAGAGCACCTTTAATAGAGCTCAGCTACACCGTATCATACTGATACAAAAGAGAGGAAATGAGACACAAAACAAATGGTAAATGACTTAAAATATGTACATTTATACACATGCGAGGGTATAGGGCTGTAAGTGATCTGTGGGTGCAATGAACGCCAGTCTGGAACAAAACATACATGGAGGAAATCATATGAACTAAACAAAGGGTTATAGAACACAAAATGTGACACATTTAAACCGCCGAAACCTTACATAGCTATAGTTATCGTTGTTCTTCATTGACGGCAGGCATTTAATGTATAATTGTATTTGCGTGTAGTTAAGCAGGTCATCCTATTTGCACTGCCAGGCAGAGTTAAAGGTGAATTACCTTTCAGTAACGACAGGAAAAGTTGTTTACAATAAAGGCTAGTTAATGGAAGAGGTATATCACTGCTCATAGACCCATGTCAATCTGTAAGTGTGTAGACCTTTTTAGCTTAGATACCGTATCTGTGTAGCCTTTATATAGGGCATAGTCAGCTTTAATATAGCATTTGCATAGCAATGACCATACATTCATCATCCTCATTCACACAGGTACTCTGGTATACCAGTATCTGTGCGTACAAAATCCTCATCTACACAAGAAAGAAAACTGGTATACAGAGGAAGCCATTGTAGAAGTCGCAATCTTTTTGGTTGAACCTCCCTTTTGTTCCATCCCCATCAGGAATCATTTAAAACAATTAACGATTTGCTGTTGGAATTCCAAGGAATGGTGTGCAGGAATTTGAGCTTATTTGGGTTTCCTGAACGATGTTTAAGAAAAAAAAAAACAATTTCAGTACAGGACGAAATACATGGTAAAATCCATGACTTATACAATGGCTGCCAGTGTACTGGATCAAACAATAGATGCACCCATTTGTAAAAAATATTCTGCATGTTTTTGTTTTTGTTTGGTTTTTTTTTTGCATGTGATGAATCTGTTGAGAAAGGTCAGACCTGATGTCATGCCATCAGTGAAACGTTATAGGTAAAAGGTTTTAGAATATATGTTTCTTATGCTGTCTGAAGAAGGGCCTGATCCCATCATAACGATTTTGAGAACCTGGTAGGCGATACATGCATTAATGTGCAATTCAACGAGCAAACACACAAAACCGGATGCACGATAAACATTAGGAAAATCAACAATGTACAGACTTGTCCAAAATTTGTCCATTTATGTCATGGGCTTGAGTTGGAAAATGATGCACATTCCTGCTTTATTTGTTATAGAAATGAAATCTCTCTCTATTTTTTTTTTTTTTTTTTTGCATCGTTTTCTATGTAGTATGGAGTCGACAAACATAGTCCATTCATAGCTAGTTGAAAAGAAAAACCCATTCAGCTAAATCAATTAAGAGCTTTTTGTAGAATCAGAACCTCATACACTCCATCAAATCTTTCCACCTATATACAGTTACATACTATACACACCTAGTTTGTCTCTGTTCAGCCGTGCAAGTGCGCCCGTGCTCTACCTGTGAACTCATTACATTCTAATCCCTGCCAAGGTACACAGTCATTAGAGTATATCAAATCTGCTGTTCTGGGCCAGGCACCTGGGGTTGATCTATCAATCTATCATGCATTCCTTAATCCTCCAAAAGAAAATGAGTGGAGTTTTCAAATGAGCTGAATTCTTGTGTCTGGCTGGCTAATGGCTGTGACGAGGTTTTTTAGTCTGAAAGGATAAGTGAAATCCAGCAGCAGAAAAAAAAAAAAAGAAGACGGCTGCATTGGTATATGTAAAACACGTGTAAGTGAGTTTGTAAATGTGTAAGTGGTTTTAAGTAAAATCAGAATGATGAAGTCCTGTTCTGAACTACAAAGCGTGTGTGTTTGTGTGAGTGGAGCAAGGAGCTGCAGGGCTATATTGGTGTCTTTATACACACACACAAACACATCCTAGTCCCAGAACAGCCTAGTGGAAGCAGCAGGCATAATCTTTGTAGACGAGAGCGCATGAGATCAGCTTGTGCGATCATCCACATTGGTGATGCTGCAGGACAACAACTTCCTGCAAGAGCAGCCCCCCCCCCCCATACAGTCTCCTACAATGTTGTCCTTCTCTCTTCCGTCTCCATCTTGTTTTCCTTTTTCCATCATTACGATCCATCCACGCAGGTCGAGGACAGGAGTAAGGATACTACGTGTGGTTTATATGATATGAGTGTCTGTCTGCATGTACATGTAAAGGGGAGTGGGGATTCACAGATGGTGCTGGCATCAGAATAGGGTCCACTGCAAGCAAAGTACAGCAAAGAGCAGTGCAAGGCTCCAGGGTCGTGCCCAGCTGGCAGACGGCGAGCCCCCTATCACCTTCACCGAGGGGGGCCTGGAAGAGTTCTCATGTGGGCTGTCACCTCCAGGCTGTCTCCCGATGGGCTTCCCTTCACTGGAGACTTCTGTTTGTGCTGCAAGAGACAGACAGAGAGGGAGAAGGGAGGAAAGAGACAGACTGAGATAAATAGTCTGGCGCATCACAGTAATCATGGTAATCTGCCTTATTGTTCAGAGTCCTTTGGGCTTGTAAAATTGTACATTAGAGGCTCATCATCTCCAGTCACCGTTCCCATCACCTCATTCCAAGGATTTTCAAAAACAATCAGACATAAAAAATGATGTATGATTATGTCTGTTACAGTTAAAGTGAGTTCACAATGTTCATCAGAAGACGCACAGCTGCGGCTGCTTCAGTCGATTTTACCCGCGATTTTTCTTTTTTGAAGAGTGCTTTACAAAAAATTCAAAAATATATGTACAGTGCTACTAGATTAGTATTCAGCTATCAACTCACTTTTAAATCCTTTTGTCCAAGTTACACACATCAAGCCTGTGCTGCAATATACTGTATTTTTCTACCCCAGAGGGACACAGTATAATAAAAACTGAACTCCAACGACACACACACACACACACACACATCATGACTGGGAACTGACAGGCTGTCTAATCTCCAGCAGAAAATGATGGACAGCCCTCACTGTGTCATTACAGCCAATCAGAGATAAATCAGGCTGATGAGGGTAGGGCAGACATTAAGCACCCATTCTATCACGGTCCCCGCAAACACACACATAAAGTTGAGCGCACAAACCCACTCTTGCTGACGTCTGTAAAATTTCTTTCCTGAAAAAGGACTTCACTCATGCCTCTACTCCCTACTGTTCTTCCAGTCTCTCTCCAACTTCAATCTTCATACCACATCACAGCTGTGGTTCTGAACAAACCTCTTTCCTCTCTTTATCTCACTTTCCTCTGGGTGGTGACAACGTGTTAGTGTCTCTAAAATTGAAAGGAAATTAATTCCATCTGCTCGTTACCCATCCTTCTTTCTACTCCTCTTTATGGATCCCACCCGGACCAAACCCAACCCAGACCAAATACGTGCATGATTGGATTAGAGACAGATTACCATCCCCGGCACAGGAAGTGCACCACAAACTCGCAATCAAATTCCCATTAACCTGCATCACTCAGACCTTACACGTGCAATATATTTAGTTTGTACCCATATGGAAGTAACAAATAGAGACATGGGTGAAGGACAGAATGACTGTGTGTGTTGTGCTATGGGGGAAAGCTAGTTATCAGAGTACTGACAATGCAAAAGCCCAGTGTCAAAGTGTCTCTTTAAGCTGCCACTGTCACAGAAACAGGCCAAGTTTTCAATGATTCAGACCACTGTGTGTATAAACCAATCTGTCTAGAGTTCAGTTGTCTAATTATATACAGTTCAAGCCGCCACTCTGTGGCTACTTTGCTGTCAAACAGCTTGACAGTCAGGTGTGTAATGGGTTACGAGATGTTACACCCATATAAAACCCCAAAACGTCATAGCACACTGTGCAAAAGCTCTGAATACCTAACGTGATCACTTCTCCACTGAGAACAACACTTATTGCTCTTTTTAAGCACAAATGGCATAGTCAAATGGGTAATTCTAAAAAAAAACATTCTTTTGTAGAACTGAGAATGCATATCAACCCATCCCTATTGTGCACTTGGGTTTTATGTGTATGCAAGTCTGAATAGGGCTAGGCAGGGCTCTAGAGAGAGAAGTGTTTCCCGTGCCAATGGTTTTTGTTGTTCCAGAAGACAATAGACAAAGACATCATTTATCCCAAATCAGATTGCTGTTATTGTTTCGATGGAAATGGGCTGCATCTCATCAGGGAGATGTCAGAAAACAGCGTTTGAATGGGCCAACACAACGCTAATACTGCTCCACTGCAGGCTAACCAACTGGCTAATTATTGGAGCAGGTCCTTGCCAGAACAACCAATTACAGCATAGACAACAGTGCTGCCAACTAGTTAAAGTGTCTTTTTTCATCTAAGGTAGGTATTGCATGGAGCTAGAATACTTTGTGATCTTTGAAATAAAATAAAATGGGATGCAATAAAATCAAATTACAAGGCCGAGAGTCAATACGTATTTACCTAATCATCAACCCGGGTCCATTTTTGGGCAAAGCCAAACTTGGGATTACCTAAACCCAGCTGGAAGACACATAAAAGTCTCATATACTTTCAAATGCCTTTCAAAATTGCATCTGATGTGACAAATTCATAAAAAAAAAAAAAAACAAGCTCACACTGCACCACACCTGCCCCAGAAGGCAAATCCAGAGCACGTACAAGAGATTATGTTTCCCAACCAGAGAACGTTCCAGTATCCTCCACAATGAGATGGTGGACATGGCTGGAGAAAAACACTCCTGAGCTGTTCTCATGAGCTGCTGTCATGACTTGGACCCAAATAAGTGGCCTAAATTTGATTTGATGGATGATTCAGTGCAGTGGTACTGTGCTAGATTAGTCTGAGATATTTTTTTACACAGATAATATATTTTATAAATAGATTTAAACAATTCTTAAAGATGACATTGTTGAAGTCTTGAAAACAGATGAACATCTGTTGTGAAACAGAGGAAGGAAAGTTCTCCAAAACATTGACAGGTGCAGTCAAATTGTATAACACAATTGTCATTTTATACTAAAATGTAATAATGCACTGTGCCATGTTTATCTTGGAGAGGTTTCTTTTCAGCAATACAACAGTTTTAAACAGTTCTCAACATTTATTTTGGCAGATTTACCATGAGTAAGTTCTCAAGGGAAACCCTCCCACACAGTTAATAAAGGCCAGGAATTGTAAGCTGTATTTTAGTTTTAACTTATCCTATTTCTTTAGTTTTCTTTTTCATCTATTTGGTCCCAAAAAAAAAAGTTTTTGTGACACGGCATACTGTACGTCTGGTCTCTTAAATTATTTATCAGATAATATGGGGATCTTTTAGCCATATTGCCATGCAAGAGTTGAGATGGATTCAATTATCAAAGTAATAAAATAGAGCAGTAGAAGCAGTGGAAACCTGAGAAAAAAGGGGTGAGCTGAAATAGAAAAAGGTCCCTAAAAGTATTCAACAACCTGAGGCACAAAAAAGTGAAAAAGCAGGAGGGCAGGAGGATAATGGAATGTGGTGTTGTTGTCATAATGAGACAATGTTAGCACATAAGCCGTGCTTCATAAGCTGGCTCATGTGTAAATCCTCCAAATAAGGAAGGAGAACAAGCAAGATAGAAAAACAGAGGGGTGGGAGGGAGTGAAAGATGACGTAAAGTGTTAGAGGAAGAAAACAGTTAGTTTGGCTTTTCAGTATGAGGAAGATGAATGTCCGTTGTCACTTGTATCAAGGCTAAGCGATGCCACATTGACATGCTCCTCCTATCACGACAACATTCACCAGTCAATGACTTATGTCCTCTACCAGTAAAAGACAAATGTGATTTGATTGGTAAAAAGCTTTGTAACAGGCGACAAAGAGTGACAGTGAAAAACAAGAACAGGGCAAAGCAAACCCAAGAGACAAATAGAACCTGAGTGCTAAGAGGTCTGTGCAACACTGCAGACATTAAATGTGAAGTGTGTATATGTGTGTGTGTGTGTGTGTGTGGGCCCTGTGCAAGTATAAAGGATGGGTTGTGGTAGCTTTCATTTGTCATTAAAGTGTGTGGTAGACAGGGTCATGAAGGGAAACAGGATGTGGGATCAGGTCACTTTATACATGTGAACGTCCAGCACTATATACAGTATAAGCACTGTGTTACCTTCATAACTACACATACAGTACAAGGTCCTCCTCCACCTTGTTGACCTCTCTGTTGGCTAAGTGTGTGAGAAATGGTTCATAGTGTCCTTTGCCATTAATGCCTCTCCAGATGGGCAGCTTGTGTGTTTGGAGGAGCCTCCATTTCCCACTGGCCAAGGAGCAACAACAGCTGCTTCTAACAAGCCTGGCCACAGCACTGAGGAAGAGGTGGACCTCGGGCTCTAGCCAAGAGGAAGGAGGGATTGGAGGGGAGGGAGAGAGGAAGGGAGGAATAAGGGTTGGAAGGTGAGTGGGAGGAATAACAAACGCCTTGGCCATCATTTCTTTGGAAAAATTCTGAGGGACAGAAAATTGCATGATGGTTGTCTGGGCAGCCATGTCAGTTTTCATATTCTGCTCTCCTCCCTCTCTCTTTCCTTCCCTCTTCTCCTCTGTGCTTCCTTTGGTTTGCCAGCACCCGGCCGCTGCTGCCACACAGTCTAAATCCTTGAATCTATGCAAAGGGAAGAAGCAAACCGCTCTCGAACAATCCTGGCTCTGTCTTCAACTGATAAGATTTAGTCTCTCTTTTCCTCAGCGCGTCATGCGTGGACAAGAATACACACTCTTACAGTATACATGCACACAACACAAATGGACGCACAAAAGCAAACACACACACTCACTCAGAGGAGCAGTACAGGAGCAACAGGGCAAAGAGTTTACTGAGGGACAAATCCAATGAGTTAACCCAGTGTGTGTGTGTGTGTTTGTGTGTGAGTGCATTTGTGTGTGTTGTGCAAGCCTCCATGGGACTCTTGGCAGAACACTAGCTGCAGAGCTGTAATCCAGTGAGGAATGGTGCTACTGTATACTAGGGCTTAGCAAGTTGTCATACTATATGCTATCAACATGACAAGGCAGCTTTTCCAGACTAAGCACAGACCTGTAGCCATAACAAACACAGATATGTGTTCTGTTCAGTTCAATTGTGTTCATTTTTTTTTTGTCTATTTCACTGAATTATAATCAACCCAGAATTGTGTTGTAGGGTCTTAATCTCCCTTTAGTGTAACCTGCTGTTGTAACTTAACTCTACAGAGAAGTTACATGTGTAAATAGAAGACGTTGACCTGCTTAACATGGACTTTAAAGCACCTGTGGCAGTTCTCGCTCCTCTGCCTGCTGTGTATAATTATAGCGATGGTCAGAAGGTAGCGCTTCGATTTATGGCACATCAAGGGAGTGTGGTGGAGGTGGTGGGTGCAGGTCAGTAAGTTGCTCCTCCTCTCTCTCATTCTCAGAATCTTCCCCTCTCTA